TCGTGTATTCATCGTAAAGAGGAAAGAACAACAAAACTTTTCCCGTTCCAAAGTCCTTTTGGGTCGGTGATTTTTGTTTTCCGGAAAAGAGGCGTAAGGAAAATGAAGAAAGGGTGGATGATTAACCCTCTTCGTTTCCGCCTTCCAGGAAAGGAGACATAAGAAAGCCACCCAAGCCAGAGTCCCGTTTCTCCTCTGGCAAACCAATGTGTTGCAAATTCATAATTCGTGATATTCGTGGCTGCCGTGGATCTAGTCCGTGGGGTGCTCCAGGAGGGAGAAGGTGACGTGAGGCGCCTTGATATCCTTCGCGGGGAAGGTGTTCATGCGCACAGTCTGGGGTCGGCGCGCCTCGTTAGCAGGGCGGTGCCAGTCGGAGACCTTCTCGGTCATCTGGCGCTCGAAGCGGTAGCGGACGAGGTCCTGGCCACCAGGGGGCGTGGTCAGACTCATGGCTCGCTTGGGACGAGGAGTCAGACGGATATCATCGTTGGTATCACCATCGGCTCTGCTGCCCCAGGAGGTCTGTTGTCAAGATGTTAACAAAATTGATATCATATAATGTGGTTCAAGTAGCTACTTACCATCTTGAGGGTAGACAAGGCGTAAAGCTTGATGATTCCATGGGCCCATCCGAAGAGGATAGAGACGGGCAGGAAGAGAATATCGCTAGGGTTGCGACGGAATAGGTTCACGAGCTTGACGACCTTGGTGAAGCCGAACACGAAGATGATCTGAGCCCAGAGGGCCTGGTGGCGGTTCTCAGCGTCCCAGTCGGCAGTACCCTTCCACAAAGCAAAGATGATGAGGGGGTCGAAGAGGAACGCCAAGGAAGTGAAGGTTGCAATATGGAGAGCATAAGTGCACCAGGGCTGCTGACTGTAGTCGCTATGGGTTAGTACATCATGCCAGGCAATAGGAGAAATCCCAGATGGGTGTGCTTCTACTTACGTGAGAACGTATCTCTCGCGGACAAGACTGGTCCAGTTGCTACGCCAATTGCTGCGAGCCCAGCGGGAGCACTGGTAGAGGAACTTGGTGCTGTTCTCCAGAGTGGTCTCGAGCTCACACTCCTTCTCGTACTGGATCCAAGTCTTCCACTGGTGGCTGACGAGCCAGCGAGTGACAAAGTTGTCGTCGTCGGCGTTCAGGATATACTTGCCCCATTTCTCGGTCTTGAAGCCCTCAAGGAAGTCGTGGCTGGACAGAATCTCAGATCGGTAGGCACCAGTTCGGCCAGACATGCAGGAAGTGCCGCCGTCGAGGTTGTGGGTGGCCGAGATCTCGAAGTTGCGTCTCTCAATGTAGGCAGCGCCGAGCCAGTTGAAGATGCGAGTGGATAGCGGGCCATCCCAGACGCGCTTAACTCTCTGGCAAGTGCCGACACCGCCAATCTTGGGGTCTTCGAAGGGAGCGAGAATCCAGGGCATCATGGTAGAAGGCCAAGTGACATCATCGTCAGCCATGATGGTGAGCTTGGTAGTCACCTTGGGCAGAGCCTCGCAGACCTGAAGACGCTTGTTGGCAATGGGGGTAGAGTAGACCTGCACATTAGGGTGAGGAAGGCTGCGAGCAAGCTTCTCAAGAGAGGCATGCTTCTCGCTGGTAGTAACGAGCATCAGAACGCGAGGGTTGCAGGCGATGATGCTGAGCAGAGAAGGGCGAAGCTCCTCGAAGACATTGTGAATGGTGGGGATGATGACGGTAACATCGTCAGCCGTGAAGGTAGGGTTGGCGGGAATCGGCTTGGACTTGTAGACCCAGTGGCTGACACAGTTGACAAGGAGGCGGGTGTAACGATGCAGCCTGCCAAGGATGGTTAGATACACAAGATGTCGAAAATTAAACAGGCAAGGCAGATGTTTGCTGCGCTACTAGCAGCAGCAATGGAGGGTAATGTTTTTTTCGCAGAAAGTAGTGACTTACCAAAGGGCGATGAACAGGTACATCCAGGCGGTAGGAGACCAACCGAAGCCAAGGTTGGGCAAGAAGAGATTCATGATGTCTGCCATCGTGAATTGCTTCCTGCGGTTGGGAAGTGCGCGTGCGTGATTCTGAGGTAATTCAGAGAAGGTCGTGAAGAGGTTTTTGACAGAGATGGGAAAGGGAACCCAACAAAGCCGCAATGGGAGGGATTGCGCGCGTGGTTGTTGGTTGGTTGTGGAGGGCGAGGAGGATGAGAAGAAGGATGTGGGAGAAGGAGTTGGGTTTTGTGCCTTCTGGTCCAGAGAAATTCTCGAATAGTCAGGAGGTGGCAGGAGGTCCAGGCCTTGAGCGTGCCTTCCTTCTCAGAATGTCGTATTGGTGAATTTGAACAAGTCCCGTGACTTCTTCTTTGATTTGCCCTTTGGTGAATATGTTTGCTGCGTATTCAGATGAAATGGTCCACTATTTTGTTTTCTGACCGAGGTGTGAGGTGTTCTGCTGAAGGTGAGGCAACCTGAGAACTTTCCAACAGTTTCAAACTGGTACCCAAGGTGATGTGAATGCGAAAAATCTAGATGGTATCTTCAATCTGCTCTGCTTCCTACGAGGTATCACGCTCGTGGATCTAGAGTAGCGTGTGGTGATGACTGTCGAGAGAGTCCCGGATGATGAGTTCTTGCTCGATCTATGTGTTGTCGTCGTGCAGCTTCCGAAGCCAAGTGCTGCTCTCGCTCTATCTTCAAGTCTCTTCTGCCTTTCTGTCTAGAAGGACCCTAATGATCGAGGTAGTAGATCGGACAAGCAGAGCGCTTTGTCTGTGTCCGTCGTTGGAGGTGGTATCAAAGAATGACACGGGCAAGACGGAATGACCAACACCCAAGCCGCGTGTATGGGATGCCGGTGGCAGTGGGGGAGGATTTCGAGAAGGGGTCAAACAAAGTATTATACAGAGATGAAAGGTGGCAATGGAAACTCAAACCATTGCGCGGACCAATTGGTCTTTTAAAAAACAACAATGACCCGGGGGAGAAGAAGTGGTGATGAGGTCGTCCGAGGAGAGTAGGTCGTCCTGGGGCGAGGGACAAGGATATATACGTAGCCAGATGTGGTGGAGGGTTGGCAGGCATGCATGGGTTGTTTAGTTTAGAGATGCGCCCATGCATGGAGACGGTAATGGTGGCTCCATCCAAACAAGGCAAAAAAAGTACTCGAGATGTACGGAGTATGGATGCATGTGTCTAATGTGTGGTAATGGATTATGGATGTACGGACTTGTCGACTGGACTTGTCTAAGATTGTGGTGCAAGACGGCAAGACGATGGGTCTTGAAGGTACTTCGTCTAGACTGGCACCTACTCGCGGCCTGTTCTCTTAGCTACACCACACTCACCACTGGCTCTCTCTCTCTCGCGCTCACATAGATAGACATGCATCACGTTCGTCTGTAAGGGTATTGGGGCAGAGACGAGGGGCAGACGAGGGGAGGGGTGCGCGGCGGTTGTATCGGGGTTGGGGAGACGAAGAAGAAGGGGAGGGGTGAGCATGTTGGTGGATGGGGGTGCGAAGGGCGTGTGCAGATGTGTCAGTTGCAGAAAGGAAAAAAAAAAACAGAGAGAGTGAGTGAGAGAGAGAGAGAGAGAGAGAGAGAGAGAGAAAGGCAGAGGAGGCGTGCAAATCGACCATCTCTTCTCCCACCCAGTCCATACATGGCCAGGGTTCCCAGAGTACGAAGCAGGTACTTGGGCGTACTTGGAGCGGAAGAGTCCACAACCGCACCCCAAGTACCTTTTTCCTTCCCCTCCTCTCTCTCACTCACCCACTCACTCGCTCACTCCCGTCTTCCTCTCTCTCACTGAGTGAGTGCGCGCGTCTGTGTGTGTGTGTGTCTCTCTCTCTCTCTCTGCCTCTGCCATCTGGGGCTGCCACCACCCTGCTTGCCTCCCAGCTGCGTCTGCCGCCGCCGCTACTGCTGCAACTACGTCTTCGCCTGCTGCTGCTGCTATTGCTGTTACGGCCTCTTGTCTCCAACACTGGCTGGATTGACGACCTGCTAGGCATGGGCTGGGGCCCTTGTGGGTACAGGTCCAAAATGGGGCCCAGAGGCTGGCTTTTGTGGCACCGTGTTGGGACGACGCTTCTTTAGCAAGCATCCAGATAGCCTGCAGTGGGCAGGCAATCGTCTTGCCATGGACACATCGCACCGATTGGCATCAGCACTTGCGAAGAGTAGTGCTGCGATATGTCCTCGCACTACATCGTTTCCCATCGCACCTCAACGGCCGTCCTTCGGCGCGCATGCGACGGAGAAGTGTCAAGAAACGGGAAACGTGAATCGGGGCCATAATCCGGCATCATGTCCTGCCTGCCTGCCTGCCTACCCTGCCCTGCTCGCTCTCCTCGTCTTACTTCCTTGTTGATGTCTGTCTGACCTGCAACCACAGTCAGGTAGTTTCAAGAATGGAGGCGACTGCTGGAGTCAACCAAGGAACACGAGCCATCGTAATCCTCGAGGACTCTCGAACCTCGACCCTTGAAGCGAAACAACACGATAGGCATGGTAATAGTAAGAGGCGGCTGGAGTTGAGGGTACTGAGCCACTGGCTGGTCCCTGCCCTCTCCTCTTCCCCTCCCCTCCTCTTCTTGGCCCCATCACGCTATGAATGGCGACTGGGGAAACGCGAATCACAGGGCGGAGGCGATCTGGTGGGGAGGGGAGCGAAACGACGGCAGCCTGTGGAGGCTGTATGAGGGCATGGCTTGAAGAAACCGAGAGGGGGACGAGGAATGTGAGAGGCGACAAGAAGCGACAAGACTCACAAGAGAGGTTAGCATTTTTTTTATTCTTCTTTCTTTTCGGAATGGGTACTCTGTAGTACTGCTACTGTATAGTAAGACTGGCAAGCCGCAAGAGTCTAGTGTAGCGCGCGAATAACGCCATACCCTGCGCACTAGGGAGGGTCTGCTTGCCTTGGTTGGTTGCCGTACTCCATTCTCCATGGTTGAGCGGCTAGTTGATGTGGAAAATGGCGGCACGGCGAGATTTGGAGATCCACTGTTTTGGTGGGCAGATTCCATCATTCGTTTGAGTACGACCGGGCATCTGCACATCCAGAGACAAAAGGTGGAGAGCTTCTGGAGGAGCTGCTGGCGACAAGGGCCAGGAACAGAGCCCTTCCGTCAATGGCCTCGATTCCTGACCTGAAAAGTTGCAGCAGACCGAGGGTAATGACCAGGGCCTGGCGGAACAACTTTAGGCGAGGTCGAATCAACGGCCCGGTAATGAGATGGTTCGACGCCCTGAGAAAGCTGGGGGGAAATCATGGCAAGAGATAGGTAGGCAAGGTACCTTGGAGACAAGAGGATAGAATTCGAAATAACCGACCCTGTCTGCTCATCAGCAGCAACCTGGCGTCTGGGGACAGTGTTAGCAATATCCCGTAGGCCGTAGGAAACAGTAACCTCATGGGCAGAGCAACTTAGCCGCAGACAGACTCTTGCAATGCCCGGGAGGGGTAAAATCCTGAAAAATTGGAGAAAAGCAGCCTCCAGTCGCTAGGCGTGAGAAAACCATCGGCTCGCCATCTGCTATGTACGCACTGACAAAACCCCGGCATGGCCTGGGCCGTTGTAGAGTCTCCATTTTTCGCATCTGACAAACGGACGGCCGGCGTGGGGTCTCACTGAGCGGATGAACAAGCATTCGTGCTGCTTATTATGGATACCCGTCCCTTCTCTGGCCCATAATGAAGCAGAGACCGGACCAGACTTGGACGAGCGTACGAGGCCAGACAAGAGTTAAATCCGGCTCTGCCTGCTACGGCTTCTGTGTCTTGACCTTGCCTCTGCCGCGTACTGGGGCTCTCGAATGGTACCGAGGACATTATCTCTCGGACCTGCAGGTTCCTCAACTGATCCTTTGAGATATCCGTATATTGCTCGTCTTTGTCACTCTTCAGTCCGTCTGAATCCCTTGTTCCTTCCCCCACCTGTCGGTTGGTGGTCAGGAAGCGAGGTTGAGGGTGCATACGTCTGTGTACGAATAGGCGTACGGCAGGCTGGGTAACGCCAGGACTGCTTGAGTGCTGCTTTTCGAAAACATACAATGTAGAGTCTGACTCTTGATGGAGGGCCATTGTCGCTCTGAAGATTCTGATATCTGATGGATGATGCAGCCAGGACCGTGACAGACGCAGTGCCGTCGCTTTTGCACTCACATTCATCAGTCTGACCTGCCACATTGCGATGACCGGACCGACAGGGTTGACGTTCCATGATGCTCCTGATCCTTGCCTGACTTGGCCGGGGCGGATGCTGTTTTCGTGATGATAACGGCCCCGGGGTTCGTCCTCGCAAAGAGGCGCGAATATTTCCCGTAGCTTGTAGATCGCTTGGCTTGGGGTTGAATGAATTGACCAGACAGAACGTGCGCAGGCTGGGTCGAACAAGCGGAAGGGCCACTGGCCCCCATGCTGTGTTGTCCTATGCTCCTATGTGTACACAGTACTGAGCTGCGGAGTGCGTGCTGGGGTGGTGGAGATTTGGCGGATAGTATCCATCAATCATCAGCAAGCCAGTCGGTCTCCCGTCTCTTCTTGGTGGCCGACGGGAGTAGGGAGTCGAAGGCTAGGAACCCATTCTTTGCCATAGACCGGACCGGATGGGATGCACTGATACTAGATTGGCACACCCACCGCGACCACTTCCGTGCCGGCCGAACAGAAGAGCGTAGCCAAAGCGTTCTGCGTGAAAGAACATGTGCACAGTAGCATATGACATTTGTTGCAGGACATAGGAGGAAAGGCAGCAACCCATGCTAACAGGTCGTATGCGGCGCAGAATCCAGCTCGTGCCGGCCGCTATCTCGGGGTCCTCGACATCCAAAGTCTCTCTAGAGTCTAGTGGCAGGCAGGCAGGCAGGCAGGCCACATCAGGCCGGACCGTCCTGCTGCAAGCTGCAAGCCATGAATCCACGAACTTGATTCTGACCCTAGAATCGAGAAGAAAAAAATGCGAATTACTTGCAGTTGTGTGAGACATTGATCAGTCCATCCTTCAAAAGTTCGGGCCTGACATCAGAAAGAACTCTAATGGTGGTATGTAGGAGACGACAAGGACGAGGCAGCATGTGGATGGACAAATTAGGTGTGGTGTGCGAGAACAGCATGGAGATGCTTTATGTCTGACTGTCGTGATCTCGATTGAACACGAGCCGAAGAAGACGAGACCAAGACTAGCCGCATCAGGACGGGAGGACGTCGTGCCTGTTTCCTAGAGAAGATGGGTATCCGTAATCGCATGCTCTTTGGGATGGTATGGCGTGGGCCCCAAGTTGCCTCGCAGAAAGACATGAGGGCAGACGGGCGACGGGGGCTGGAGGTGGCAGCCGGATCGGCCGTTCGGCAACGGCTGCCACATTCGGGTGCCCTGTTTGGTGAAGCCGTTGAGAATTGTGCGGGTGCAGTGCAGCTCGTCAATGCCTAGCATCAGCCATGATCAGATCCCGAGTCTGTCAATCTGTTCAATAAACCTGGGGGGGGTGTTTGCTAGTCAAGCAAGTAAGGTATTGCAGGTACCTTGAGAGCGATGATGCGTTAGTGAAAAAAGGGAAAATGGTGGTTGACGAGGGCGGGAAAACCAAAGGAGGGGAAAAGAAGATGGGTTGCATATTGGCTGAGTCGATCCTCCATCGTAATTGGGGGCGGCGGAGCGGCGGAGAGACATTCCATAAACGCGGGCGGGAAGATGGAGATAGTGTGATGGACGCAAATGCAACTGCAGTCCAGACCTTGGTAGGTATCAGAGTTGGCACCTCTAATTTGTGACAGGAGACCAACAAAAATTTGGAGAGTACCTCAATATACCAGGTGTTGTATATATGCGTATATGGAGATATGAGATTTGAGATGGCAAGATTGCCTGCCGTTGGAGAGTTGATTTTGAGTGGCTCGGGATGGGCGTGGAGTGCCTCTCTGGAGCGACTTGCCGGGGATATGTCTCAGTCTATTTTGGCACCTCATGATTGATTGTCTTGGATGGAGACGGTTGAGAGAAAGCCGCGCCTTAGCGGCTCCAGTGACGACTAGGTAGAGATGCCAATGATAAACGAGTGTGAGGGCGGGACGAAACAAGGTGGAATGTGACGTGAGGCAAGTGAACAGTTGACTGGGCGTACGGAGTGGCCTGGACCACAGCTGGTGGTGTCCATATCTGAGGTTGGTCATCCATTGTCAGTCCCATGGATGGACAAACAAACTGGTGTGTTCGTATGTAAGGTAAGGTATGTGAGATGGAGAAGTGTGTGTGCCTGTGTATGTGTGTGTGTGTGTGTGTGTGTGTGTGTGTGTGTGCAAGTGCGGGTGCGTGTGGTGGTTCAGATGACATACCTAGGTACCTACCTCGGTGCTCAAGCCCCAGCCACGATTGCGTGTTTATCTTTCTTTCCCACGGATTATGAAGTAAGAAGAAAGCAGGTAGGTATCCGTACCTTCCATGGGAACCTTTCCATGGAATGGAAGTCGAGGCAAGGCAAGGCAAGGCATGGAAGGAACCTCCCTAGGTAAGGTAGGTAGGTACCTTTGGAAAGCACGCACGTAGGGAAGGAAGCTTCATCAACAAGCTCAGAGTGGCTACCTTCCTTGGACTATCGGATCCCAAGGCGGGAAAGTGTCTGTCCGTCTTCCCCGGTCCTGCCTTGCTCCTCCTGCCTTGCACCTACCTTGCCTGCCTTCCATGAGGTAAAGTAAGGTAGGTAGTACGTCCCTACCCCGGATTCCGAGCCTGTCCTTGCCTCGATCTTGTATTTCTCAGCCCCGACTGCCTCACCTCATAAGATACGCACTACCTATGTCCATGGAACTCCGAGCAAGGTATCTTAAGTACCGACCTCCATTAGGTAAGCTACCTTACCTTACGGTACGTTCGGGTAGGGCAGGTACCTTAATTATAGACAACAATGGCTCGCACATGTACGGATATTGAAAGATATCCACGGGAACGAATGTGTGTTTACGGAGTACTTACCTTGGATAACTTTTGATGTATTCCCAAAATGCTAGTCTCTTGGCCAAGCAAGGTATCAATCATTCGCTTCGGTGCCGCGGATGCCAATTTCTTTCTGCTGCGAGGGACATTGCGCCTGCCGCTAGATGAATGATGCATGGGCTTCCTCCCGCCCCTCAAGCCCAGGTTGATTTGATGCACACATCATTCGTCCATGGACTATCTTCAAAGCCATCTGTCACTTCTCTTCTCTCAGGAGTCAAGACATACCTACGTCTCGGCTGCCAAGATACCTTGCACAGAGGTATACCGCTGTTGCTCTCTGGCTGGCTAGCCCATCACCGATTGCTTAGCTCGAGGTCCCTCTGGTGGGTCTCACGGTTTACACATCGTCTTCCACCACGCACAGTTTATCTTTGCCGCTGACCTACCTAAGTATCTACCATATCCCTTCCTGTCAAACAACACTATTTGCTTCGGTCCTACGTCTCAGCCAGCCCTCGCTAGCCCTCATCCCAACAGAAACAACCAGCAGACGCCGAGAGAGAGAGAGAGAGAGGGGTGACGCATGGTGCCCCTCCACCCTCGGCTGAGATACGGATGCAAGAGGCATGGATGTCTTCAACCTCCCAGCATACTCTATTTCTCCCACAGTCGCTTGCTGCTGCAATTTCCAGATCTTGCCTCGCCTCGGCCTCCTGTCCCGTACGCAATGGAACCGGCGGCCGCATGCGCCGTTCCGCAACATGGCCCTCGAAATGAATTGCCCCCCGGAACCTCCCATCTTCCTTGCCTCTGGCGATCCCGGCCGTTGACGGATGCTGGTCAATCAATGTCCGCTCCTTGCTGACCCATTGTCCGTACGGATACACGAGTCCACTACTCCGTCCTGCGACGATACTCCTCCGGTCCTCCACCATCGCCTTAGAAGCTGCGCAGAAAAGCAATCAAGCATACTCCGTATTCATCTTCTACATGCTTACGGGTGAATCATGTCATCTTCACCAGGATGAGCCGCCGCCGCCTTCGCCCAAGCCGCAGCTTCCGTTAGAAAGAATACCTTACTCCTCCCATCGCTCGACAATCCACAAAGCATCCCATCTTCATCTATTCGCTACAGGGCCGTTGAGCGCCAGCTTCAAGACAGCACGGGCGTGTGTCAACAAAGTACCTTGCTGTGCCTCTTGAGGGCTACTGTGCCTACTTTGGATGATTACGCCCTCCGACACTCACCATCAACCAGCATCGAGTAGAGGATGGACATGGTGTGCTGCATCTGGCCCCATCGGGAACTTGCTAAGAGCCCACCACAGATCACCGTCGCAGGGAAGCTCGCCGTTAGCTCGACATTACGACGTGCTTGGGCGTTGGTTCAATGGCTCGCCGCACCCTCCGGTACGATGCTGGTCGGCTGCGACGCCTTGGCTGGCATCTGATTCCACCACTTTTGTCAACCACATTCCGTCACCCTCTGCTTCGAATTCCATGCACTACCGAGCCAATGGATGCCATCCCGGCTTCTGTGCAGCCATGCCAAACGCCACTTCGCCAGTCGCAACACTGTCGCTGTTGTTCGTCTGCGTTGGATTCCAGAAGCATGAATGGGCCCGAATCTGGGTCCGAGCCTTTGGTCCTTCCATCAGATTCCGCCATCATCCCTCTTAGGGTATTCCAGGTGGTCGAATCTTGCATGGAACAGCTGCCGTCGATGCTTCACAATCGCCACTGTTACTTCACTATCGAGACTTGTCTGCAGGTTTACCGTCAATGGAAACCCGCACCTGTTGATATACGTCGAACTGCATCGGTTCTTTGGATGGCAGTCCAAATGACCCATCATACGCATACATATAATCCACTAGCCAAGTTGTCGACCGTAGCATGACTTGATACAGAAAAGTCGTCAAGTAAACAGGTTGGGGCTCGGTGTCCACCACGAGTCATGGCTTCTCGTGCGATTCTGGGCAGGCAGCCTGCGACTCCGGCTGATTGCGGGATAAGCCCCTCGTCAACCTTTCCGCAGTCCGCACGCCTCCAGGCCGAGCCGATATGAGCGGGACCTCCGTCCTCGAGACATGCGACCTAGGATCAAGTTTGTGGACGAGGGGTACCTACATCGGTGCATGCATTCAGCGCCCCTCTCTAAAAGCCAGCCTGCCCAGCCTCGCTATCTTTTCCCGCACCGCAGCCAGGTTCTTTTTTGCCACAGGGTAAACGCTCTGGTACAGAGCGTTGCGAAAGCGTGATTGCTTGGTCTCTGTCTTTTTGGTTCGGACGCTTTTGAGCCAGGTCAACCTTTGCGTCTGGGCCACGATTAAGTTAAGGCAGCCCTAGCTATATCACGAATACTGTGTTCGAGGGATGCATCGGAGCCATGGATAAACGGATCATGGTTGACCACAAAAAGAGGCCTTACGTGCCCTATTATACGCATCATCGCCCGCACTTAGTCAACCTCAAAGGGTCGAGGCTCACAGAGACGTTATTACCTATGCCCGGGGCAGCAGATCGCCGCTTTGCCTGGTTAATTTAGAGCGCAAATCGCGACTGATACTCTGGGGCAGAGACCAGGGATCTCCCCAGAATGTTTTAGCTCCTTCGGACACAATCCATGTTACTCCTCCTGGCGTGCTTGAAGAATGCCACGGCCACCTGGTTCGGATGACACACGGACCTTACCACGGTGTAGGCGTCAACTGCCCGAGAAACGTCTGAAAATCAAGACCCCGGAAACTGTCCGCACACATAGTAGCCGCAAATTCGCAGCCGCTTGACCGAAGAAACAAGGCAGCTGTTCGATACAGAGCTCCATACCAAGAGAATCTTCTTCTTAGGCTTGAATCTACTCTTGCTGGGTTCCACGCGTCATGTCTTGAGGGTAAGTTGACAAGCCAGAAAGGTCTCTGCAGAACCAAACCTCCAAACAGATAGAACCCCTCCCTCTGGATTCGAGGTAGTGGAAGGATGTGACACAAAACTCACCCTTCGCTCTGCTCCGTCGGACGGTTTCTTATGGGTCCACTGTCTTGCCTATGCTCACACAGTCCCTCGACGGTGACTGGAACGAAGCTTGAACCCACTCGGAAAACTCTGCATAGAGTCGCGGCATGAATATGCACACTGTCATATCGTCTGGCGGCTTCATTCCTGCCTCTGAGAGCGTGGCTTCTGTCATTTTGTGAGCTGTCATGTATTCACAAAACAGTCGCAGGTGCCGTCCGTATTGCAAATGCATATCTATTTTGGACGTGCTTACAAGCTTCTCGTACAGACTCCTGTTAATGACGCATCCTAGAACCCCAACAGGCTCAGCGCGAGACGATGATGAGGTCAAGTCAACTCGAAAAACTCAGCATCTTGATTCCTTAGGGCTCCAGCCTATCTTGTGGCCTGATTAGATCGCGATCTGATGCGACCAAGACCAAGGGAAGATCAGAGCTGACATGAACTCCTCACATCTCAGCTGTTCGTCAACTCCATGGTGTCAAGGTCCCTGCACTATGCAGTGTAATATACCAAACTGTCAGGCTTGTCATCACTGATACCGGCTCTACAGTCTACCTTCATGGTGGCCAACAACGGAACTGCGGGCAAGTTGCGCCGGCAGACCCGATGCGCTGCAAGCCGGCATTCGCCAATATCAGGGCCGGGAAGCGAGAAGAGGAGTCTAGAACACCGTTTCCTTCTGAGAGAGGCGCTCCAACCGCTCCCAAGCCACCGGATCCCCATGACCTGATGTCCAGTAGGAGAGTTGCATTACAGGAATTTCAGCTCGATAAATTCCTTGTAACTTGCTGGCACTCTTCCCCCCTCGCACTTATTAATCGATCTAGAGATGGCCGAGAACACGGATCCTTTAATCTTCCTGGAATGTAGTGGTGGCCGCGACCTTTCTGTCGACCAAGAGAAGCCGTCCTTGGGTCAGCTTCTCATTCATCTTCACGTCTAACAGTATCTTCTCAGCAACTACTGTCTCATCTCGTCATCTTTGCACAGCCTTCCTGAGCCGCCGTGGCTTATGTGATTCTCTCTAACCGTTTCTCCGTCATCGTACATCAGGCCCCAGTCGCTTGGGTGCCGCAAAGGACACTCACGGTATGACCCTCATGGAAGGCTACCTAGACAGGCTTCAATTCCATATCCGGATGATCCATACACCCACGCGACCTGTGATGGATCCAGGCCCTGATGACAGCGCATGGTGGTATGGGTGGCATCGTGCGGGAAGCGCGTCCCGGGGAAGCAGGCAAGCACTTTCCGGAGGAGTCGATCTTGGATGATGCGCATCCAACCTCCCAGTTTCATGCAAACCCGTTGCTGTTTTGTCTGGATAAAATCCTATTGCAGCTCCAACCGTGCCTGGCGAGCCACACAGACGACGTATGGGCATGCATCCGCCAAGAAAGACTACTCTTCTGAGCGAGTTCCCCCATTCTATCTCCGCTCTGTCATGATAAATTCAACGATTTGCTGCGCCAGACGCACAGTGTGCATGTATGGCAGCGTAATGAGTTGTCCAATTTCTGACGCATGTCTCACAGGTTGCAAGGCCCCGGAGTTGATGCGACATCGTCAATTTGGCAGTACCCGTACTGAAGATGAGCTATCGTCTTTTCAATCCTGGACAGTTTCCAACGGCTTCTGGACACTCTCTACCTCTGGAAAGAATCAAGACAAGGTTAGAGGAATACAGAGTTCGCTCGCATAGGAAAACTCAGTAGTGTAACACACACGACGCCTCCCATGGTGTTGTACATGCAGCCGCACGGCGGCAACCAGGGCCAAACCCTCGCACAAATCTACGAGGTTCTGCTAGTTGTGTAATTAATCAGCACAACGGCAGCAGAGAAGTCTTTGGCTGGTTCCTGGAACCCTTGGGTTTCGAGTCACACAAGGGAGCATGCATAGTGACCTATGTGCCAACATGCGACATGGCTATTGAGGACAACCGCCCATAGGGCTGTGATCTCTTCCAACCCTCTTTTCTTGTGTTGAATATTTCGATATACCCTGAGATACTCGTGATGGTAAGCCACTGAGTCTCGTTGTTACGCCAGGGAGAGAGTTCTTTTCCAGACTAGTAATGATAGGGGCTGCATGAAAGGGCTCAACCATCGACTCGGACGTGTCTAGGGGCTCGCCCCTTTTGCCCCAGGTTAGTCAAGCCTCCACATTGAGGCTCTCTTTCGTCAGGAACGAGTGACTCAACATGGCTCGGGGACTTTCTTCCAGGCTGTCTCAGCCTATCCTCTACGGTCCTGGAGGTCGACTGTCATGGGATCTATGCGATTCGTTTCCTGGAGGCACGGTAGGGCGGTCCAGCCGCTGGTAGGCTCGTTCAGGACTTCGGGATGCTTGTCAAGTGACTCTGGCGTCCTGCTCTTTCCTAAATCGACTCTTCACGCTATCTCAAGCCCTGTCCGCCTCCTGAGGTGTACTCAGGATCACCACCAACCTTTCCCACTCTCGCCACCTGCCCCGCAGCCCAGAGTCGTTCTCACGATGATTACTGGCGAGGTCCTCGGACCATCGACCCCGATTCCTCGAAGTGCTTACCGGATTCGTCTTGTTACACAGGCAGGTATGTCCTGGATTCGAGCATGAAGGATCCGGATCTGCAAGAGCAGCAGCGAAGACGGCTTCGAAGGCTACAGCGGACTACCTCGGGGTACATCTCTCACCCTGGAGCTCATCCAAACCCCGACTCTCACGCGAGTAGCCCGAGTACTAAGACATGGTTGTACGCTCTGTCTACACGGGGTGTCTTTGCAAGTGCGTCCTGATGCCGGACTGGGGTCCAGGGGACCACCTGTGCCCAGGGTAGGTTGTCGGTTATTGGGGTCCGAGAAAACCCCTCGTACGATGAATTTCGACTTGTTGAAGAGGCTGTTTACTTCGAGTGGCAGATAACGACGCCCCGAGCCTACACGTGGGTCCAGTGAGAATCGTTGTAAGTATGTCTTTCGAGTGAAGGTGGGCCTCGTGTGAAACGGCTTTGGCGCCCTCGCCGAGGGTCCTTGGAAGGCGAGCCATGAGGGGAAGCAATATCCCGCTTCAGTTATGGCAAATACGGGCTATTCTTCGTCAAAGGGGAGTCCACTGTGAGCACGACGTAGGATGTGTTGCTGGCGTCTGCCGAGGATATAATACATACGTGCCCGAGATATGACAAACTTCGACAAATCGCGACGCTTGTTTGCTGCTGACGAGCTCATTTCGAAGGCAATGCAGAAGCACGAGAGATAAAATGCGGGACCTTTCATGTCGTCGACCAGCTTGGTAAACTGGCATTCCAAGGTTGCTATGCGGCTGTCGGATAGGAGGTGGCGAGGACAACAAGAAGGGCTGCGCAGAGGAGCGGCGCTCGATACTGAGAGTCTGATAGACAGACGGTAAGCTTCCTGCTTGCTTGCCTCCGGTGAGCAGAACAGCGAGTCGGTTTAAGGAGGCGTTGCCTATCTGCGGCTACTGGTGGTCAGGACGGTCGTCGGCGATGTATTGGGCGGGAGGAGAAGCGGCTCGGGGTCGGTCGGCTACGCCGTGTGCGGCTCATCGTGTACGTGATTCGGAAGGGGATTGGCGGTGTTGATGAGTATCCGGTGTGGTTATCCGTTCCCGCTGCGGAGCTTCCACACGGACCTCAGTTCAAAATGGCTCCGTAATGCTCTAGACTTCATCTGAGACCGGCCGGCTTGCAGGTTCGTGTATCCCGTTTCGAGGTGATGTCCTCCAAGATCCCGACTCTTCTGATATCCCCGCCGTGAAACTGTTCCCTGTACCGTCCGGACATCTATCACGAGACATATCGAAAAGGTATACGCGAATCGGGCGTGCTACCATAGGAAACGGCGAACATGCCAGCGAGGCACACGTCTCGGGGTCAGA